AAAAAAAAAAAAAACCTCTCAAAAAAAAAAGGAGCCGGGACCAGCAGTTAGCGTAATGGCTATGTCGTTGGACTCCCACGTAGTTGACCATGGTTCGCGTCCCAAACCCGGTGGCTTAAAACTCATGCTGGGTGCATGTGCGTGCATGCCCAAGATCCTGAGAAGAGAACAGAGGAAAAGGGATTGCGGTGTGGCCATCCCCCCGCCAGGGGGTGACTTCTCGCTTTCTGTTTCTCTGTCTCTCTCCGGCGAGCACACGTGCCCTATAGCAAAAACCTCTCAAAAAAAAAAAGAACCAGTGGGGCGAGAGGCCAGCAGGTGGCATGGTGGTTAAGGATGCTGGACTCCCAGATGGCTGAGTCTCAGACCTAGAGTCTTGCTTTCTCACTTTCCCTCTCTCTCTTGCTCTGTCCCTCTCTGGTGAAATTAAAATAAATAAATGAATGAATAAAGTTAAAATAAAATTATTCTCTAAAAAGCAAAAACAAACAAAACCAATGGGGCAAGCTGGCTTGTGGTCCAGAAGTTAGGGGAGCCAGATTTCACATAGCTGACCTCCCAGTTTTAGTTCTAGATCCAATGGCTTGAAGATCACATCAAGGCACGTGGAGGAGAAGGGACTGCAAAGTGACTGTGCCCCATTGGGGGGGGGGATTTCTCCCTCATCCTTTCTCTCTGTCTTCCTGGTGAGCATATGTGCCCTCTAGCAATTAAGAAAGAGAGAGAGGGGGACCAGCAGGTGCCATGGTGGTTAAGGTGCAGGACTTCTACATGGCTGACTGTGGTTGGAGTCCTGAACTTGGTGGCTTTCTCACTTTCCCTCCTCTCTCTTTCTCTCTCTGGGCAAATCAAAAAGTAATAACAATAAATAAATTTAGATAAATAATTCCTCAAAAGAGAGAGAGAGAAGGAAAGAAAGAAAGAGAAAAGGGGGAGCTGGCAGGTAGTAGGGTGGTTAAGGTGCTAGACTCTCACATGGCCAACTGTGGTTTGAGTCCTGGCCCTGACAGCTTGCTTTCTCACTTTATCCCTCTCTCTCTTATCAAATAAAAAAATGAAAAATATAACAATAAATTTTTTAAACTTAAAATAATTCTTAAAAACAAAGAAAGAGAAAAGGGAGAAAGAAGGAAGGGAGGAAGGAAGAGAACAGTGGGGCAGATCACCAGAAGCCTAGTTGCTGGTTGCTGGTTGCTAGTAGCTAGTGATAAGGCCTGGCCGTCAGTGGGGCCAGTGGCTCCTACCCTTAGTCAGGACAGGGCTGGTTCAAGAGAATCACCTCAGTTTGTCTCCAGATGCAACTCCAGCCGACTTAAATCTACCACGGAGAGGAGAGTAGCAATGAGTGGAAACGGAGAGTGCTGTTTTGTTAGAAATGCAAAGTATGTTTTTATTTTATGTTCGTTCTGTTTTGCTTTGCTTTGTGTTCTAGCAGTCAGTATTTACGCCTAGTAAAGGCAGGTTGCTAGGTGCTGAGAATGGACGGTTGACTAGAACCATTCATTCTCTAGTGTCTTTAATACATCGTAGGTTTTGTTCTTTGTTACTTTTGTCCTACTTTATGCTTTATTCTTTTCTTTTTTACATCTTTTGGGCTTAAAATTAGCTTTTTTCATTCTCAACCCTTAAAAAGCTAAGGTTTTAATTGTTTTATTTCTACGAGTAAAGGAGACAGACAGAAAGAGAGAGGGAAACAAAGAGACGGCACTCCCAACAGGCAGCCTGTCAGTCGGGGTCATTGGCCACGAGTGTCTGACGCACTCAGAGAGGTCTCTGGTCTTGAACCCAGAACTTCCCACCTAGGTCAGCATTTCGGAATGTCATGTTCTACCACTGCACACCTGAAAAATAGGCCATCTCTGTAACCTAGTGATTAAGGGAGCTAGATCGCACATGCCCAACTGCAGTGTGAGCTCTGGCCCCAGCAGCTTGAAAAACACGCTAGCGACATGTGTGTGCATTCCCCAAATCCCAAAGGGATGGAGAAGAAGGGATTATGGTGTGACTGTGCCCCATTAGGGAATGCTTTCTCCCTCTCCTTCTCTTTGTCTCTCTCAATTGAGTGCAGGTGCTCTCTGGTAAATGAAAAAAATAAGCTTTAATACTATTAATTTTCTTTGATGTATTCCTTTGGACACGTTTTGATTTGTGTTGTTATTTAGTTGTCAGTAACTTATCATTTCCATTTGGAATACCTCTTTAACCCATAAGGTTTTTTTAAAAAAGGATTATTCTATTTAACTTAATTAATTAATTAATTTATTTATTTTTAATTGACCAGAGAGGGGCAGGGTGAGAGAGAGAGAGAAAGTAAAAAGCAAGCTGCCAGGTCCAGGACTCAAACCATGGTCGGCCATGTGGGAGTCTATCCGCCCTAACTACCATGCCACCTGCCAGTCCCTAACCGTAAAGTTTTTAGGAGTGTATTTCATTTCGTTTTGATTTTTGTTTTCTTTTTGGTGCTGCAACCCAGGAACGGTCCAAGGGTTGTGTTTTATAGTATACAAATAGTGTGTGTTGATGTGATCTTCGTTGTTTATAATTCCATATTTGTGAATGCATCTACGTGCAAAAATTCATATGTAACTCCAAAATCAGTACTCAGATATGTGCATTCACAGAGCAGTTTAAAATCTAAGTTGCTACAAGGAAGGAAATTAGGGGGGAAAAATAGAGAGGCGAGATATTTGTGGGGCATGGTAATGGTTTATCACCTGTAGATGAGAACGTGAATAGTATTCTCAGCTGGACTGGTCTGGGGTGTATTTCACGTTGGGTAAATTCTCTTTACAAACCAAATGATGTATAGTGATCCAATGTATAAAATAATAATAATTTTTAAAAAGTGATCAAATATAAGC